AGAGAGATATCCACAGCAGGATTTATTTTAACACAATGAAGACAAATGAAGGAAACTTATTTTTCAGAAACTCCATGTTCTCCTTTAGATATATATAAAACAAAATATCCTACTGGAGACCTTTTAATCTAATTATATTTTTTATTATATTTATTTATCTAAAGGGAGGGTCAGAACATGTGAAAGTCGACAACTTACAGGAATCAGTTCTCTCCTCCTGCCTTTATGTGCGTCCATGGGCTGAATTTGAATCACCACACAGGATAGTAATTACCTCTACTTGCTAAGCTGTTGCAGGATATTTGATCACACTGTGAACTCCGAGATTGCATTATTTACTGGAAAAATCCGTGTCAAGTTGTGGTGTGGTTCAGCCCTAGCACACACCTTTAATCTAAGAGTTTTCTGCTTGAATATTGTAAACAGGTTTAAATAATTCAGCCACAGGTCAAGAGGTGGAGCAAGCAACCAGTTGATAGGAAAAAGCCATAGGAAGTAAGAGGGAGTCAGAAGGACGGATAGAGAGACTCACAGGAAGTAGATGGGAGGGACATTCAGTTGGAGGAGTTTTGTTGGAGACAGCACAGGAGAAAGGTCTCTTTCTAGGAGGACAGTGGAGGGGGAAGGTCAGCTGGTACTCTCTCTGCCTCTCTGAGCTAGCAGGTTTTCACCCCAGTATCTGACTCCCAAGTCCTTACTGGTAAAATAGAATGATAGAGACCTAGTTAAAAACAACACTGAGCCATCTCTCCAGCCTTGCTTTTAAATATATAAAACACCGCACAGCAGTGCTGTGGGTGAGATCATCTCTTTAGCATCTATGACACAGTTCATATCATAAAAGTCCCCATGATTCAAAATTAGCATGTCTTTCATACAGTAAATTAAGAACACAGGTCTGCAGAGCACAGAGCTATGTTACATGCTTAGGTGAGCAAGCCTGAATATTTAATCTCTTAAGCATACTAAATTCTTAAATTCTAATTCGAGCTGTTCATCCCTGGTACACAGAAGCAGCTGCTGTTTGTAAACACCTCTTGTGACCTGAGAGCTTGTTAACTGAGTCCAGTGCATTGTTAAACTCTTCTGGGCTCAGCATCTGGTGTACATCTGGGATCCTAGTGCTTGAGAGACTGAGGCCTCTGGTCCTCTGGTCCTCACACACTGTGGCATATGAACACACATGCACACACTTCACACACCTGGGAAGGGTCACGGAGCCAGACAGCACCTCTGGGATAAATACATAGTCAAGGTAAAGCAGGCAGTATTTTCTGATGTGTTTGATGTATGAGAGAAGGAAAAATGTGACCAGTGACTTAGGGCACTTTGGGTGACAGAGCTGCAAGATGTGGCCTCATTTAGTCATACCTGGGAAGCCACAAGTACACACACTTCACACACACACACACACACACACACACACACACACACACATAATAATAATAATAATAATAATAATAATAATAATAATAATAATAGTAAACTAGGAATTTCAAAATCTCAAAGAAAGATAATATTAGTAACTGCAAAAATGGAAGATAAAGTAAAATGTTTGGTTCTATGCACGTGTGTATGTGTATGTGCACTCAAGTGTTCACACAGAAGTCTTGTGTGCAAAAGGAATCATTAATAGCTGCCTGTGAAGAGAGAGCTGTTATCTGCCTGTTTGCAGGGTAGAATAGGTAGAAGAATCATTTGAAGTCCTTGTGTATCAAGTACCTTGGGCACCTGACCTTTTCAAACTAAATTAAAAGTCGGAAACAAAGCATGTGGCTCCTGCCTCCCTAGCACCATATCTTGGAAAGATCATGGCACTCTGTCTCTTCTCCCCGGGGCTCAGCAAGCATCCCTAACCCATAGATGCATTTTCTCACTTCAATCTTTTGTCACCCAAGATCATAGTTTTCAGAGCACTGGTGAAGAAGGGCCAAACACTCAGCCTTTCCTTTTCCATTCCAACCCCTGCTTTCTCCCAAACAATTATCTCCACAGAAACGAGAAGCAATTTGCCTTTGAGGTGAATGTCCATTTCGCTTCACAAACTCAGCTCTGCCATGGATGAAAGTCCATTTACGTTTAATAAATAATTCAATCAAATTTATATTCCGATGCCGTGTCTCATCAGACCTTGGAAAATTGGTTTTGATGTCTTCGGGGTTTTTAATTCCCTCCCCATCTTTCTCTAGCTCAGGGCTCGCTGGTCCTTTTGTTCTTGGCTGGATGTGTGACTCTTACAGGGCTCTGATTTCTTGTTGCTGTTTGTCTGTTCCCACAACAGGGCTTGCTGGAAAGGCTATGTCTTCGTGCCTGCCTGAACCTCAGAGGTGACCCAGAAGTCCCCTCAGTTGCTGAGTCAGATGTAGATAACTTGACTATCTTCCCCTTAGTTCCACTCCTGACGCTCATATTTTCAATGCTAGAATTAACTTGTGCCCACTATAGTCCACATGGTATGTGTGCACATGTGTGCACATGTGGACCTGTATTCTTGTGGAGACCAAAGGGTAAGCTCAGGTACCATTCCTTAAAAGCTGTCTACCTCATTTTGATTTGGAGAATGTTTGTTTGTTTGTTTTATTTTGGTTTTGGAGATGGTCTTTCATGGGAATCTGGGGCTCACTCTTTAGGCTGTGTGGGCTGGCTAGCAAGTCCTAGAGATCCACCTGCCTCCACCTCCCAGAGCTAAGATTAGAAGAATCTCTTAAAACAGCAATTCTGGGTCCTGCTGTTCACATTACAGTGAATACACTCCTGCTCTGAGCTGTATTTTGCTCAGGACTTTGGTCCTTGTAACATACAGTCCATGACTCTCCAGAAAACCTCAGCACACATTCATAAAAGCCAAGCTGCAGCCTGGCTTGGAGACCTGCCCTCCTCCTTCACGTCCTGTCCTCCTCCTTCACGTCCTGTCCTCCTCCTTCACTTCCTGTCCTCCTCCTTCACTTTCTGTCCTCCTCCTTCACTTCCTGCCCTCCTCCTTCACTT